CACAAGGGTGATTCAACGTCGCTTCACGTGAGTGTTCCGCGCGCGCGCGTTCCGGAAAAAGCACCCACGCGTCGAGACCGCTCCGAGAGATGATCGCTCGTCCAAAAATCAGCCGAAACGAGTGGAAATCGGCCGAGCTATGAGCCTTTGAAGTTGGGAATTTCGCTCTCTTGTGCTGCCCCGACGCGCTCCGCGGCGCCCGCGGCGAGCAGCGCCTCGACGTCCGCCGCGGACCGCGGCCGCGGCGGCGCGTCGGCGGCGGCCCGCGCCGCCTCGGCGCGCCACATGGCGCAGACGGACGCGCAGCGCCGCGGCGCGTCGGCGACACCGCGCGGTACTCCGCGGTCCGCGACGGGTGCGCGAGGTCGTCGTCGTCGCCGAAGAAGCACCAGACGCTGCGCTTCTTGCCCCAGCGGTGGGCGACCAGCGCGCCGAGGGCCGCCAGGTGCTCGAACTGGGACCGCCGGCCCGCGCATTCGACCGCGTCGCAGTCGCATTCCTTCACGAGCCGCCGCGCGGATTCTCGCCACGCCTCCTCCGCGCTCCAGGACAGCAGGATGCCGTCGGGCGCCGCCGTCTGCGCCGCCGACGCCGCGCGCAGGGCGTCGCCGAGGGCGCAGAGCCGGTCCGCGGAGGCGATGTGCGACGCCATGAGCAGCACGAGCGTCGTCGGCGCGGGCGCCTCCTCGGCGTCGCCGGGGACGACCGTCACGGCCTCGTCGTCGTCCTCGAGCTCGCGCCCCACGGTCGCCTGGCACCGCGCGGCGCCGAAGGCGGCCATCGTCACCAATCAGAGGATTGCCAAGAGAGCGCGGCCATGCGATTAGCGCGTTCCCAATTTGAACTTCAAATTCAAGAGGTATGCACAGACAACCTTAACCACTGTCATGCTGATCTGAGATGAGTGGTCTGTAAATGGGGTGAGGTAGTGGTGGTGGTGGTGGGGGTGGTACCCCTGGGGCCGCTGGAGACCACTCGAATCCACCGGAATTATGCTTGTTTTGGCTCTATCGACCAGTTTTGATCTCGAGCTTGAGCAAACTGGTGGTTTTGACGCTCGATCATAAATTTCGACCGTGTGGAGGTCATGGCCGAGCAGCCCTCCAGCTGCCGATCGGCCAGAACGGGTGGTTCACAGGCTTCGTTGACCCCATGTTGCAGCTGTTTTGACCACTCATTTTGAGCAAGTCGCGACTCAGGGGTAGTTGGTTAGTGGTGCTTGGTGTCGTGGGGTGGTTCGCTGCCGGCCTCTTGTTCAAATTGAAGAAAGGGCAGCCATTGGCACCATCTATTGGCACCCCTTCCCGACTGATCCGATGGAGAGCGTGCGGGAGGAGAGCGCGCGGGAGGATCAAATGGAAAGGGTGCGGGAGGTGGCGGCGGGCGAGGGGGAGAAAGAGACGGAGTGCTCCGTCGCGGAGGGGACGTCGTCGACGTTGATCTTCTGCGGCACGTGGAGCACGGGCGACGACCGCGACGACGGCCTGCCGGAGCGCCAGCGGGAGCCGGGGAGCGCCGCCAAGCGGAAGCGCGGCGTGTCGCCGCTGAGCGACGCGCCGCCGCCGGCGCCGCCGGCGGCGGAGCTCTCGACGACGCCGACGAAGAAGTTGTTGCGCCTGCGGCGGCTGGTGCTGAACCACGTCGACGAGAGGAGCGTCGGCGCCTTCTTCGGCGTGCTCTTCGTCTGCGTTGTCACCTTCGCGACGCTCGGCGTCATCAACATCATGGACTGGCTCCAGCTCGAGCCCCTGACGGCCATGTACCTCCACGGCGTCCTGGGCTGAGACGCGAAAATCGACTCAACTTATGAAATGTAAAGGTACGCGGAAGACGCGACGCACGAGCTCGTCTTCCCCGACTTTGTGATCTGCCACACGTGGCCCGTCGTCTTCAACTTCCGGCCGGC